TAGCAATTAATATAATTGTTTTAACAACTGAATTAATAGCTATACCTGTACTAGTTAATGCTTTTTTTATTTTAATGTGACACATGACTAATTCAACTTTACCAACTGAAACAACTCATTAAACTTCATTTGTTTATTTTTTCTATATTCTAGGGAAGGGTCTACAGGGTGTTCAGGGTCTCACTACTAGATCGGACTCATAGTGATTCTCTTGTTTACAGCCTCCCAAGTGCTGGGATTATAGGCATGCGCCACCACACACAGCCTCAATCCCAATCTCGGCACACCCCAGGGGTGGGGCCTCATGTCAGGCCTGGTAAACTTCTTTTAATGTAACAATAAAATCATAGCAAAGTATCCCTAACTCAAGAAATTCCCTACCCAGATCAGAATGTGTTCAACAAGTATTTATAGAATGAACAGTAATCAGAGTGGGTATATTTAAGATACTTAATGAAATTCCATTGAATTTTTGAAAGCATCATTTAAAAACAATCAATATATATAAAAAAAAAGGGGGCTGGTGAGATGGCTCAGGGGTCTAAAGCACCTACTTAGAACAAGCTTAGCAGAGCGCAGGGACCGCAGTTCAATCCCCCAGCACCACATGCCAGCCAGCCCCGCCCCCTGGTGGGCTGAGCTGGCCACATACACACACACACACACACACACACACACACACATAAATAAATAAAATTAATAATAATAAAAAAAAAAAACAATGTGGTAAGATCCTAAAGTCAAGAGTATGTTAGAAATGGGAGAAAAATAATCCACAGTAATATAGCAATTTATAATTTTTGGTCTCAGGACTCTTAAATTTTCTAAGGATCCTTCTGCACAGCAATAGAAATCACCAGCAGAGTAAAGAGACAATCTACAGAAGGGGAGAAAAGGCCAGGCGAGGTAGGTCAGTAGACTAAGCGCCTGTTTAGGCAAGTGTAGGGACTGAGATTCAACCCCTTGCACTACAAGAGGCACTGGCCGCAGTTCTGCCCCCAGGTATGCTGAGCCGGTACCAAGGCCAGGCATAGAGGCACATGCCTGTCTGTAACCCCAGTGCTGGAGAGGCTGAAAACAAGAGAATCACTACTATGAGACCCTGTATCAAGAACATTTAAAAAAAAAAAAAAAAAAAAAAGGAGAAAATTTTTGCAAGCTACTTGTCAAAGGACTATGGAGTCTAACGTGGTGGTAGACACCTATATTTCCAGCACTTTGGAAACTGAAACAGAAAGATTGCTGCAAGTTTGAGATCAGCCTGGGCTACACAATAAGATACGTCTCCCAAAAAGAAAAGGGACTATATCAAGGATATATAAAGAACTCAAAACAAATTAGACACCCCCCCAATTTAAAGACCCAGTCAAAAGATAGCCTACAAAATGAATACACTTCTTAGACGACTAAGTAAAAGCAGCCAAAAATACATTTTAAAAATCTTCATCTTTCTGGCCATTCCAGAAATGCAAATTAAAACAACACTGAGATCACATCTTACTCCAGAAAGAATGGTCGTCATCAAAAAATTAATCAATAACAAATGCTGGAGAGGCTGGGGTGCAGGGTCCTCCTGATTTTTGTTGGGAGTCTAAACCAGTACAACTACTATAGAAATCAGTATGGAGATTCCTCAAAAATCTAAAATTAAAGCAGGGATGTAGCTCAGTGGCACAGAAAGTCCTCAGTTCAATTCCTGGTTAAAAAAAAAAAAAGCCTACAATGAGAAATTCCATTTGACCTGGATCTTCTATTTACCTTCGTGAAAAGTTCAACACATCACTGATATGTCACAGTGATCTATACGTGTGTGTGTTTATAGCAGCATAGCTCATAGTGGCTCAAATCATGGAAACAGCCTGATGAATGGATAAGGAAAATGTGATGTTTATACACAATGGAGTTCTGCTCTGCCTTAAAGACAGATTAAAATCATTTGTAGGAAAATGAATGTACCTTGAAAAACCATGTATAGCGAAATAAAGCACAAAGTAAGATAGGCAACAGGAAAAAGAGAAAAAGATAAATTGTTATTGTTTTCTAGCATGAATAATGTATCTGGATTTTATGTAATTGTTAGGTTGATACTTACAGCCATCTTGTTTACAAATCCATTGTACACAATTGACTCGAGAAGTATGGCCATTCAGGTTGGTAACAACTACCCTTTTCTTAAGAGAAGAAAACAGCAATCAGTAAATTTATCTTACAGAGGGATTAACAAATTAATAAAATCAGACTTCTGTTTTGACAGAAATAAGATCAGAGTTACATCAACATAGCTGCCTCCCTCAACTGGTAAAACTTTTTAACTATGGCTTAATCTTCATTCCTACTTTTTAACACTCTCCACATTCTTAGTGTCTTGTGAGCTCATTAGTCTGAGCTCTCAGATCTGCATCTGCCTACTTAAGTTTACTCCTCTATAGAGTTTACATACCTCTTCCTCCTCTTTCTTCTTTACACTCTAAGCTAGACAAGCTTGTTCTCCTTCTGCTCCACGGCTGCAGGGACTATTTTTACTATGCTGCATAAATATGGGAGCTTCATTAACAAAAATTCCTTTGACGGAATTCCCAGTTAAGTGTATACAAATTCATGGCTCACTTTCCATGTTATGGCTGATCAGGTGGTAGGTTCTTCAGCTCTAGTGAAAAAAGATCTCAAAGCCACAACAACTAAGAAACTCTTACATATTAGATCCCTGAGAGGCATATTAGGGTCCCTACTGACCCTCAGTTTATTGCTTTTATGAAATCGTGCCATACTGTAGCATCCTTCCTTCACACATAGAAGATTTTAATTCAGAGACTACTGTACTTTGCCACAGGTGGTGGCACATGCCTGTAATCCCACTAGTATAGGAGGCTGAAGCAGGAGGATCACCCAAAGTTCAAGGCCAGCCTGGGCTACATAGTGAGCCCAGGACAGCTTGAACTATATAGGAAGACCCTGTCTCAAAAAAACAAAACAAGGAACGGGGGATATAGCTCAGTGTTACAGTGCCTGCCTGGTAAGCGGAGAGGTGGTAAATTCAATAACTGGTCAAAAGAAAAAAAAAGGAAACTACAGCTTCTTTACAGCTCCTCTTTTGCCAATTGTACCAGCCTTATATCTGCTTATATTCTAACCTGAACTCTCATGTCTGGGAAAAAGAACACCGAGTCTATGGATTCTAAAAGGATGCTAAATAAGCATAACTTCCAAAACTTTGTTTTGGCATTTTTGTTTGTTTGTTTTTGTACTAGAGATGGAACTGTGGACCTTTCACTTACCAGCAGGTGCTTATTCCACTGACTTATCTCCCCAGACCTGTTTTAGCATCAAACCTGCTCTTATTCCTGTATTTAAACACCCAACCAGTAAATATTTAACAAAAAAGTACTTCTTTACATGTTTAGAGCCCCTAACATGGCTTAAGTTACCATTCAAAAGTGACAGGACTGCATGGAGATACATCTATTGAAATGCTATACAAGGGGCTGGAGAGATGGCTCAGTGGTCTAAAGCACCTACTTAGAACAAGCTTAGCAAAGCATCAGGGACCACGGTTCAATCCCCCAGCACCACATGCCAGCCAGCCCCACCCCCTGGTGGGCTGAGCTGGCCACACACACACACCACACACACTCACTCTCTCTCTCTCTTTCTCTCTCAAATAAATAAAAAAATTAAAAAAAAATTAAAAAAAAAAAAAGAAATGCTATACAAACTTGAGTTTCTATGACAGAGTCAGTCCTTGGTTTGATATGCTTTCTCTTGCCACTTAAGAATACATGCCAATTAACAAGAAAAAAACCAGAAATGATAGGCAAACTCAAGATACAGAAAATTGAGTAAAAAAAAATTTATATACAAATTTGAATCTGTAAATAAGAGATTTGCAAAATAAAACAGTAGAATAATAAACACATTTCCTGTCCTACATTTTAATTTTCTACATTTCACTTTTCTGAAGAAGAAAATTTTACTTGGCTCACGTGTGCAATTCACCTTTTGCACTCCATATTAAGATGCAAGAATAACTTTACCATCTTAGCCAGGAAAAATGGTATAGTAAAATACGGGTAGCATGCAAAACTACTCACTTGGAAGTCAGATAGGGAGCGGAAATTTTTTTAAAAAATGACAAACTGAGGCAATGGGTAACTCCTGCCTTACAACCAGTACGTAGGATCCCTACCCACTATGGCTCTTTGCCCAAGTGATCCATTCTTTCAAATGTGCATTCTCATAGCTACAATATCGGTATTTCTTTGAAATCCAATAGCACACAAGTTAATTAACCAACATTGAGGGAAATACAGCTGAGATTGTATCTGTAGGACGATGGCTTTAATTCATACCTAAATTTCAATTATTTTAAAACCCAAATTGACTTTTTAGCAGTAATACAGTTCGTGGGTTGGCTTCCGATAGCGATCTCCTCTCCGGTGTCGGCGCGGGGCTCACACAGCACCGGCAGGACGCAGGCAGTGGAGAGCCTGGGCCGAGCCCAGCGCGCCCACGGGAGGCTCCCGCAAGGCCGGCTGCACCGCCACAGGGTGTCCTGGCCCCCAGGTTCGGCCACGGAAACACCGGGCACGGGACATCCAGCTATCCTTTACCTGAGGGTCATAGAGAACCACCGAGCAGGACGTGCCAAAGGCCAGAAGTCCTCCGGGCCCGGGGCTCCAGCTCACGGCTCCCCGCACCCGGTTAGGACAGCAAAACACGTGCGCGGCCTCTAGCAAAGACACCACCATGACGCCAGCTGGCCAGTACCCGAGACCGCGGCGCGCACTTCCGCCGGGGAGCGGAACTCCGCCCCTAGCCTCCGCGCGGGCGACGGCCACCGGCCTGCGCTCCGGAGGCGCCGGGGGCGGGGCATGCGCGGCCCTCCCCTCGGCCCCGCCCACCGGGGGGCCGCCCCTGGCCCCACCCACTCCTCGGGCCCCGCCCCGCCCCTCGGGCCCCGCCCCCGCCCGGCCTTGTGCTTCTCTACAATCCCTGCCGGCGCGAGGCGGGCGCGAGGCCGCGCCTTCAGCGTGCATCACTCCGGCGCGCGCTCCGGCTCCCATCGCTGCAGCCGCGGCTCCGCACACGAGGCGCAGCCCCCTGGAGTACCTCGGAGTCCTCCAGAAAGACCAGTGCCCTAGTGCCAGGCAGGCCTTCAAGGCCTGGCTCCCATCTTCTGACCGAACTGTTTGGGAGACCCTGGCGAGCCAGCCTCGGGCCTCGGAGAAGCTCAGCGGCGCAGAAGGCTTCAAAAAGAGGACCCCTAAGTTCTCCCCGTCCCCTCAGACCCTGCGAACGCCTCCAGCTCGGCCCCCAGGCCCTCCGCCCCCGCGAGCCCGGGGCGTCTACAAAGGCGCGGAAAAGCGGATCGGTCTGGAGTCGGGGTTCCAGAGCGCACTGCGCGTGCGCCGCGGCGCCTGCTGCGGGGGGCGGCGGTCCCCGGCTTTGCGTGGCGCGCGGCGCCGGGACTGCCGATTGTCCTGCTCCGGGAGGCGAGGGTGCTGGGCGTGGCTCCCGAGGTGCTCGGCGGGGCTGAAAAGACCGCGGCTTCTGCGCGCCGGGTGAAAGGTGTTGGAGAGACCACGACCGGCCGGTCTCCATCGGCCGGAGCTCCCGCGGGGAACCGAACCTGCGCGTGGGCCGGGCCGTGGGAAGGCGGGGCAGCGGAGAGGTGGGTGCCGCAGGTCGGGGAGTGGGACGGCGGGAAGGGAGCCCTGCGGCCCGGGGGTCCCCGGAAACCGGGTCCCGAAGCCAAGCTGGGGGGCTGCAAAGGAGGGATGGGGGGGTCCGCTGCTGGCTTCTCTCCTCCGAGAGCTGGGCTGCCTGAGTGTGCCCGGAGCGGCTTGGGGGTCCTACAGAGGACTTTGGGAGGGTGAGCTGTACTTTTCATCCTCTATTTAGAGAAGGTACTGATGCGGTTTAAAAGCCCTTAACGGAAGCAAAGCTTTGTGTCCCCTGTTCTGTTTTCTCTACTCTTCCTGCTCCCTTAGGCCTTTTCTTTCAGCATTTTTTTTTTTTTTTCGCCCAGCCCACGCAGACCTTCAGGGAAGAGATCCGGAGACCAGTACGGGATCGCCCTGAGCATCATCCAAGACTGCGGCGCGGCCGGCGCGGAGGTACTTAGAGCTGCCGTCGTGTTTGTCCCCACCCACCCCGCTCCTCTCCTTACTCCTGGGAATTATTTTTAGTGGTTCCCTTTTGCCTATTAAGTGAATTTTTAAAACTTCAGGCCACCAAACCGGGCATGGTGGTGTATTCCTGTAATATCAGCAGGTTCGAGGCCAGCCTAGGTTCTGTTGAGTTGAGTTCGAGGCCAACCAGGACTACAGGGTGAGCCTTCCTTTCAAAACAAAAAGAGATTAGAAATTCAGGCCCAAAAGATTCCTGAGTTTTATGTAGATTTGTTTTCCTCGTTCAACTTGCACAGTAAGTATTACAGGCTTTTATAGTGAACGTGAGCTCCTGGCTCAAAGAACAGCCTTGTAAGGAGTAGCGTTTATTTGCTAGTTTTTGTTTTAGATACCTAACCTCTGGATCTGTTGCTGGAGACATGAGTTTTGCCATTATCAACCATCTTATCATTAATGGACATTTACAGGCTTGTGTACTAATAACCTGGTCACTGATTTGGCTATACCTTCCTCTCAACTGATATCTCAGGTCCCACCTCGATTTCAAACACTAATATGTGAATGAGTAGTAATATTTTCTGATACAATTCTAATGGGTTTGTGGCAACATAGGAATAATACAATGAGTTTTCATTAAGTTTAATCTATTTAAAGAAGTATAATGCAGTCACTTAGAAAATACACTGATTGATGAGAAAGAAAAAAATCAGATAAAATGTAACACTTTTGAGGAATGGGATGGGGGAAAGGAGGGGCCTTAAATGGGTTTTTATATGAGGAGAATGTATCAGTTTAGGAAAAAATTTTAAACACGAACTGTTATCTGTTCTGGTGTTTAAAAGTTCTTTTATAAAATGATGGTGATAGGGGTGGTTAGTTAGACTTGATTCGGTTTTAAATCATTGTTCTCAGCACACTAAGAAGTTGCAAAGTGGCTGTGGTCATATGGGTCTCTTGTCTCTGCTGAATTATTGTTGAATTTAGAATACTGATTACAGAGTCTGGACATTGACTGTCTCCACTTGCTTTGGTTTTTTAACAATGCAAGGAGAAATCTTAGTACTCTTCATCTTCTCAGTACCTAGCACCACATCAAGGGATGCTCTGTAAACCTTGATTATCTGATTAGACATTAATTTAATTAGACATTTAATTAGACATTAATTAGCAGGAGGTCTCAATTCAAATTGTTATAGAAGTGGGTCAAGAATTTTCTTTTCCTATCATTTCTAGGAAGGTGCAATGGCAAGGAATTTATCTGTAATCTTGATCCTGACCTTTGCCCTGTTGGTCACCAATCCCCTTCATGAATTAGAATCAGCTGCTGCTTTCTCTCAGACCACTGAGAAAATTAATCTGAACTGGGAATCTGGCATTAACGTTGACACAGCAGTGAGCACACGGCAACATCATCTACAGCAGCTTTTCTACCGCTATGGAGAGAACAATTCCTTGTCAGTTGAAGGGTTCAGAAAATTGCTTCAGAATATAGGCATAGAAAAGATTAAACGAAGCCATGCCCACCATGACCACGAGCATCATTCTGAGCATGACCATGATCATCACACCCATCGTAATCGAGCTGCTTCTGGTAAAAACAGTCGGAAAGCTCTTTGCCCAGACCATGACGCTGATGGTTCAGGTAAAGATCACAGAAACAGCCAAGGGAAAGGACCTCACCGCCTGGAACATGCCAGTGGTAGAAAGAATGGCAAGGAGGGTGTAAGTGCTGGGGAAGTGACCTCCACCATGTATAACACTGTCTCTGAAGGAACTCACTTTCTAGAGACCTTGGAGACTCCAAAACCTGGTAAACTCCCCAAAGATATCAACAGTTCCACTCCACCCAGTATCACAGAAAGGAATCGGGTGGCACGGCTGATTGGTAGCAAAACCAACGAGTCTGCGAATGAGCCCAGAAAGGGCTTCATGTATTCCAGAAGCATAAATGACAATACCCAGGAGGTAAGTTAAGTGCTGTTCAATCCTATAATATACCTGCTTGTCTGTCTTATCATGACTATTCTTGTTTCTAGTTAAGGAATATAAAATAACATAAAACAGAAAAAAAATTATTTATTTTGGGGGATGCCAGCAAACGAACTCAAGACCTCACACTTACCGGCAGGTACTGTGCTGCTGACTTATATACCCGGCCTCTAACCGTAAATTTAGTGCAAAGGGCATTTTTTTTCCTGTTCGTTGTTTGTTATTTTGAGGCAGAGTCTGTGTAGCCCAGATTGGCATTGAATTTGGCAGTTCTCCTGCCTCAGCCTCCCGAGTGCTGGGATTAGAGGAATGTGTAGTGATGATACCTGGCTCAATTTTTTGGCTCACGGTGAGCATACTGTGTTGTAAACATTCATGATACAGACCTTGAGAAGTAGATCTTTGGTGAGAAGAATGCTCCATGCTACAAGTTTTTTTAATACATATATATAAAATGTCTACAGAAAGATATTAAGTTTATTTTTTAAGAAAAGCTTTAAAGGTGAATTCTTAATAAAAAACAGAAAATTGAGACATTTAAAAGTAGACACTAGAATCCATTTAGAAAAACTATTGAAAGATTTGAAGAATAGCAAGGTTAGTGTGGCCTCCCTGGCAAAAAGCCTTAGTGTAACTTGTAGAGTGATTGAAAATTGGAGCAACAAGGCTGGCAAGATAGCTCAGCAGACTAAGCACCTGCTTAGGCAAGTAGAGGGACCAGGGTTTGATGCTTGGTACTGCATGCCGCACCGGCTCTGCCCTCGGGAAAGCGGTACCAAATCCAGGCGTGGTGGGTGGTGCACGCCTGTCATCCCAGCTCTGGGAAGACTGAAAACAGGAGGATCATTATGCATCTGAGCTGCATAGTGAGACCCTATACCAAATACATAAAAAAATAAAATTGGAGTAGCTACCAAGAACTTCATACTAGACAAGCTCAATGTGTGGTTGTGACATCCAGAGTTCATGTGGTTTTCCACTTCCAAACACCACCTATTTCATCTTGGCAGAAAGATATCAAGAGGGGCTGGGGAGATGGCTCAGCAGAATAAGCGCTTGCCTGGCAAGCGCAAGCGTCTGAGTTCAATCCCCGGTTCCAAAAAAAAAAAAAAAAAATAACCTTGCCTTTTTGGGCTGGTGAGATGGCTCAGTGGTCTAAAGCACCTACTTAGAACAAGCTTAGCTAAAGCCCAGAGACCGCGGTTCAATCCCCCAGCACCACATGCCAGCCAGCCCCGCCCCCTGGTGGGCTGAGCTGGCCACACACACACACACACACATAAATAAATAAAATTTAAAAAAAAAAAAGAAAAGAAAGATATCAAGAAAAAAGAATTAAATGATATACTTCGGTAAGAAAAACTTGAGTACTTCCAAACCAGCATTAATATTGACCACCCAGGGCTGGTGAGATGGCTCAGTGGTCTAAAGACCTACGTAGAACAAGCTAAGCTTAGCAAAGCACAGGGACCGCAGTTCAATCCCCCAGCACCGCATGCCAGCCAGCCCCGCCCCCTGGTGGGCTGAGCTGGCCACACACACATACACAAAATAAATAAATAAAAATTAATTTAAAAAAAAATATTGACCACCCAGCAATGACCACCCAGCAACTTCATCTATAGTAGCTTTTTACTGTTATGGAGAGAACAATTCCTTGTCAATAGAAGTGTTCAGGAAATTGCTAGAATATAGAGAAGCCATACCCAGCATGTCCATGAGTATCTATACTAAGATACAAAGGTGCTCCTACTAAGATAAGTTTAAAATAATCCTACAATAGAGCAACAATGGTAATGAAGTTTCTTCTTAACGGCATTGACTGAGAATTGTGGGAGTCTGAAATGTCTTTATAGAACATAAGAAACAGGCAGAGGTTTTTTTTTTTTTATTTTGGGGGGGTGGGTGAAGGTTAAATACATTAAAGTTCTCTTCAAAACAAGGCTGTTACCCAGTTAAATTGTTGAAAACATTTGCCTGCTGAGACAGGTTTATTTTATTAACCAGTGTTGCAAGAGTAATCTGCATAATTTAATAGCCTCTCATTGTAGAGCATTATTTTGCCAGGTATGTAGGCAGAACTAAGTTTTGCAAGTAGAGTCATTGATGGAAAAACATGTCTTGGGCTTGTTTAGGCCGCATAGAATAGCATTAGTACTAATATATATTTCTCAGTCCCTGATGAATCTCATTTCAGAATTAAAGCTCATTTCCTTAATAGGCTCATACATTGAGTTAACAGACTTGTGAATCTTTGTTTATCCTCCAGCTTATTCTTGAGGCTTTCTCTCTATGTGACTAATGATGTGAGTGCTTCTCTCAAGTAGGCAGAAGGTAGCATAGAGCCACAGTGTCATTTCCTCCTTGTAACTAGAGGCAAGTTCCAAAGCACTGAAAACAGAAGTTGATTTTAACATGAATTGAGCTAAGTAAAGAAGTACTTTTAATATGGAAAAGATATGTCATCAGACTGCATTTTCTCTAATGGACATGCCCATCAGTGATTTTCCCTGCTTTGTTTCCTTCAGTGTTTCAATGCATCAAAGCTGCTTATGTCTCATGGCATGGGTATCCAGGTTCCACTGAATGCAACGGACTTCAGCTATCTCTGCCCAGCTATCATCAATCAAATTGACGCTAGATCTTGTCTGATTCATACAACGAGCGAGAAGAAGGCTGAAATCCCACCAAAGACCTATTCTTTACAAATAGGTAGAATTGCCTTTTTGTGTTAAAAAGAAAAATAACTTCCAATAGATACATTTATGTTGTACTTCTCCTTATATTACATCAGTCTGTTCATTCTTTATCATGATTCCAGATATATCATCTTAGTTTTTTCCTACCCAAAATATGAAGAAAATATAAGTATATTGTTAGCTGTCCCTTTAAAAAAAAAATCACAGGGCTGGTGAGATGGCTCAGTGGTCTAAAGCACCTACTTAGAACAAGCTTAGCAAAGCACAGGGACCGTGGTTCAATCCCCCAGCACCACATGCCATCCAGCCCCTCCCCCGGTGGGCTGAGCTGGCCACACACACACACACACTCACAAATAAATAAATAAATAAATAAATAAAAAATCACAAAGTAAAACTTAAGCTGATGGCTCATCTAAGGTCATCCCAAAGGATGAGTCGGGATCACCTCAAATGGGCTTTTTAGGTCACGTTCACTGTTTGGGAGTAGGGTCAGAGTTCATCTCTGTTACTTAGGAGCCCACGTCTCCTGTGGTCTTACTGTGAAACTAGGGTAAGTCTTGGTGTGTATGTCACATTGCTTGAAAACTATAAAGAAGAAATAATTGTTTACTGGGGGATGTTTTGAGTTCCTTGCTTCCTTCTTGCTCCTTTTCAATTTTATTTTTAAACTTTTTTGTCTTCTCTTTCATAATTTAGCTGTTCTGGGAATCTGAAGGTTCAGGCCCCAAGTTCATCTTGAGCCAGAGTTCATCCTTAGAAACTTTTTCCCCCTCCTTTCACCCCTAATTGAAGAATTTTTTTTTTTAATTTTTTTTTTAACATTTATTTATTGTGCGGGGGGCAGCTCAGCCCACCAGGGGGCACAGCTGGCTGGCATGTGGTGCTGGGGGATCGAACCGCGGTCCCTGTGCTTTGCCAAGCTTGTTCCAAGTAGGTGCTTTAGACCACTGAGCCATCTCTCCAGCCCCGTAGAATTTTTGACTTTATGCTTCTTAACTAAAAGATTCTTAATTGCTAATCAGGTTTTTCCTTTCAGCCAGCAGTATTATCTCAGTTACTGTGTGATTGCCATTGTTCTCTTTGCATTGAATTTGTTTTCTTTGTAACTTCTGCAGTCTTACATGTTGCATTGTGCTACTCTCCAGAAATTTCTCTTCAAAAGTTACCAATTGTATGATTTTTCCTTTGCTCTGTTTTAACAGCCTGGGTTGGTGGCTTTATAGCCATTTCCATCATCAGTTTCCTGTCCTTGCTGGGGGTTATCTTGGTACCTCTCATGAATCGGGTGTTTTTCAAGTTTCTCCTAAGTTTCCTTGTGGCATTGGCTGTTGGGACTTTGAGTGGTGATGCTTTATTACACCTCCTTCCACATGTAAGTATAGTGGTGAGTCCTCATGTTGTTACTCAACATGTGCAGCTTTTTTTTTTTTTTTTTGTACCAGGGATCCAACTCAGGACCTTGTGCTTGCCAGGCAGGCGCTTATGCCACTAAGCTATCTCCCCAGCTCAACATTAAAAATATTAATAGATATCTGATTTGTACTGGAATTCTTTGTGTTACTATGTATTAAAGACAAATTTTGGCTTACAGAAATTCTACATTATGTTTAGTAACAAAACTTCATTTTTGTGGTGGATCTTAGTGTATCTTCATGGATTTTTGCTTTTCTCTGTAAAGGAATCAGCTAAAGACTTAACTTTTTGAACCAAGTTAAAAATAGACAAATTCTGCTGATAGTAATACTATGCTGGACTGCAACAATAAGAATTATCTGTTGTAGAGAATTTGTACAGTTGCCACCAAAGTAAAATATGTAACCACTTATGTACCCAAGAAACTCAGAGGTTTTTTAAGTTGAATTATATGTATATTTTGAGATTCATACTTCATGACATGAGTGAATTCTTGAAACAGATTTGGTAAAGTGAATTTACATTTGCTTTAAATATGTGGGCTACAGGTGACACTGCGGTAATCCCAGCACTCACGAGGCAGAGGCAGGAAGAGCAGTGTGAGTCTAAGGCCAGCCTGGACTACATAGTGAGACTTTGGCTCTGAATAAATAAATAAAATAAATGGGCTCAGTCTCAGGCAGAATATTGCTACCTCATTTTTAATATTTTCAATTGCAGCAGATTTTCAGGTAGTAGAAAAGGAAATCATTCTATTACTAGACCACTATAAATCTCAAGTCTCCTTATTAATGGAAAAAAAAAACCAACAATTTTTATGACAAGTGCCCTGACAACCTGGTGACAGATGTTCAGAAGTATCTGCAACACCAAGTGGCATGAAGATGAAGTGTGCTCTGTGACCTCAGTGTGCTCCACACCCACCTCCTAACGTGCAGTCGCAGGGAGTTACTACAGCACTCAGCTGCAGGCCCCAGGGTCAGTGCATCGACTGCAGAGCCCTGCTGCAAGCATTCACTGCACACAGCCTAGGCTGGTAGGTGGGTGACCCTGGGATGAGCTCTCAGTGGGATATGAGCAGTAAATATGACTACTAGTTATATCTAGCAATTCCCTGTTAATTGTGGCCAGCTCAACTTGTCAGACAGTAAGAATGCTCTAAATATATGTTCTGGAGACTGTACCTGTCTTTGTGCTAAGTAGCCCTACTCTAGTTAAGTTCCATAATACATAACATACACTAAGTTCAAGATAGCTAGTTGTCCATTGGCCTGTTTTACTTTTAGTGTCTTTTCAACTCCGAAATGTCTCATTAATTGCCTATTTCTGAGTGGTTTCAAATTTGACACCACTCTCTTGGCCAGTTTTTCTATAATGTGTGAAACTAATGAACCTATAAAATATGTATCATTTTACTTTCAGTCTCATGCAAACCACCACCACAGTCATAGCCATGAAGAGCCATCAATGGAAATGAAAAGAGGCCCACTTTTCAGTCATCTGTCTTCTCAAAACATAGAAGGAAGTTCCTATTTTGATTCCACTTGGAAAGGTCTGACAGCTCTAGGAGGCTTGTATTTCATGTTTCTTGTTGAACATGTACTCACATTGATCAAGCAATTTAAAGATAAAAAGAAAAAGGTAAGGAAAAGCATCAAGGGTACTCACTGTTGCATCAGACATTTATCTAGAGCAGCACTCTAACTTGATTTTTAGAATAGTTTATTCAGGTCATACAGTCTTTACGAAGAAAGATTTGGTACCCCAGAGGCACTTTTCCTGGAGGTATTCCTGTAGAACAACAATTCTATGTCTTGATAACTATAGAATTTTCTTTCTTTCTTTCTTTCTTTTTTTTTTTTTTTTTTTTTTTTTGCAGTACTGGAAATGGAACTCAGGACTATAGAATTTTCTGTATTCACTATTTCTGGAAACTCACAGGAAAGTAAGAAAGGCAAGAATAAGTGCCTGTGTAAATGACCATATGCAATCTACACATAGGGCTTTGAAGCCCAGATATGTCATGGATATACAATCGGTATTTACTAGTGCTTACACTTACCTGTGATGGTTGATTGTAAATACTTTTGAATGTTCTGCTGTCCTTCAAAGAGCCTGTGGCATTTACAGACTTATTCTTTGGAAACTGGACCAAAAAGCAGTGGGCTTTTTTTTTCAAGTAAAAATAACTTTGAGACATCTGAGGTTATCTCCTCCTTATCTAACATGATCAGGAAAATAAAATGAAAGACTGTTAGAATTCTTAGAAATAATGAGTATAAGCCACGTGTGGGACACACACCTACAAACCCAGCTTTCAGGAGGCGGAGGCAGGAGGATCACCCTGAGTGCAAGGCCTGCGTGGGCTACATAGGATTTCAAGGCTTCCCTGAACTACATAGTGATAAACCCTTTCTTAAGAGAAGCTCTGTTACCAAAAAAAAACATAAGTGCAACTTTCAGATACTTAATTTGGTTTATGTGCATTTCATTGATATTGATCAGTATCTTTGAATTAGAGAACTTTTTTTTATCACCACGCTGTATCTCATGTACTATTTCTAATTTTGGTTTTTCTAAAATTGAACAAGAAGTTATACACTTGTAAAGTTATTCTATGTATAGAATTTATGTTTTAGAAATTTTTAAATTCTGTAAAGTGATTGGCTTACATAATTTGATCTTTTTAGCAGCTTGCCTTTGGATTTTTAAAAGCATTTAACTTGCATGTTCATAGAAGTAACTATTACCGTCATTTCATTGTTGAAGCAGCGTGTAATTAAATTGTGCAATGATAGTAACAGGTACAGCTGGCAGGAAGAGGCTTGAAAACTACCAGTTGATTCTTGCTGAGCATCAGGCTGGCTGTGGGAAAGGACTGCGCATGAGCAGAGGAGCAGCTCATGCTACCCACGCATACTTGCCTCGGTGTCTCATGTCCACTAGAATCTCACTCTACGTTTTGAATCCTCTCCTTAATGAATATAAGTAGAGTGAGGAAGTCAAATCCTAGTTCATTCATTCATAAACGAGGATATAATCTTCCTTGTTTCCGTTTCTCAGTTGTGTTGCTTACACTGGTCTCAGGCTACATCCTATTTCTTTATGTCCTCTTAAAATTATTCTTGCCCTTTTTTTTTTTTAATTCTTGCCTTTTTAAAAAATTTTTTTTTTCATTTTGGGAAGAGCATCATTGGATTTGATTTGCATTTTTCGATTGTATTTCTGGTTCAAATGCTATAATTTATATTAGTATTCTAATTTCAATTTAGTTTTCAAAGTGTACCTTAAGCTTGCTTTTCTTTAACCTGGTTAAACTTGGTATTCTAGACAAGGTATTACCTAATACAGAACAGCTTATTTTATAGTTACAATTCTAATTAGTGAGCTATAGTATTTGTGTTGTGCCAATACTTTTAAATATATTAAATACAATGGTAATGGAGCTAGGTGTGGTGGCACATAGAGGCTAAGGCAAGAGGATCATTGTGAATTCAAGACCAGTGTAGGCTACAAAGAAAGCTCAAGATCTCAGCCTCAACTGTATAGTGAGACCCTGTCTCAAAAAAGACAACAAACAAAAAAACCCAAATTATTATTATTTTTTTTTATTTTTATTTTTTTGGCAGAACTGGGAATTGAACTCAGGCCCTTGTGCTTGCCAGGGAAGCGCTTATTCTGCTGAGCCATCTCCCAGGCCCCCAAATTAATTTAACAATATATTACTGTGTATAATTTTTATATAACCCTATAGATTATGGAGAAGTTTAGTGTCTGTTCTAAATAGTATATACTAGAATGTAAGCTCTGTTGTATATGTCACTCTGAAATCTCTGATTCCAATTAGGATCACTTCTTATGCTTGATATATATAGTTAGACCCTTGTATCAGTTCAACTTCAAACTTTGTAAAGTGAAGGTTGTTGTTCACACTGAAAATCAGAGAACCATTTGTGACATCCTTCTCATCCCCATTTCCAACCTACTTTTATTAAGTATTTCTGTGGCCTTTTCCCATTTCTGTCTTCCATCATTCTAGTGCAGTTCTTGTGACAGCAATTACAACATAGCTGGCCTGTCCATGTTACTTTGTTTTCCTTCACCAATTAGGCAATAATTTGTTTAAATGCAAAGATAAGGTTGTACGTACCTCTTAAAATCCTGTAATAGCTTCCCATTGCTTTGTGGAAAAAGTCTACTATCCTTCACATGGTTAGCGCTGTCTAGACTCCTTCAGCTGCCTCAGCCTCATTTCTGGCCAGTCTTTCTCTTTGACTGACGAGGCCTCAGCCTCTATGTCTTTTAGTTCCAGGGTGCTCTGGTCCCTTTCTGCTTCAGGGCCCTCTCACACACTGATCTGCCTGCCTGGAACACTGTTTCCTCCTTTATACAACTCTTGCTTAGGTCTTAGTATGGTTGTCACATTTTTTATTTTTCAGCAACCTGTCCAGAAATGTATTCAGGTCCCATTTTTCTTTTGTAAAATGTGCTGAACATTGGATTCAAAAAACTTTATAGCCATTATCTGTGCTAAGCCCATTTCCCTATGGATGATGAGCTCCAAGAAAACAGACTGTATGTTCTGTCTGCACTGTATCACTTAGCATTGGGGGGGCATTATATTTCCTTCATAGTTATGGGATGGAAAACATGGTTAAATATAAGTTACAGAGTCATAGCCAATGAGAAATGAAGTATCAACTAAATAATTTAAGGTAACTTTAATTCATTTCAAAAACGTGCAGTTATTACAATTTTTAATTAAAGTGTGAAACTTTAAAATACTGTAAATTCATTATTTTGACAGATATCTAAGTACCTTCTTTGATGCCTCAGAGAACATACTAGGGATAAATACAAAGATTTGTTTGTGGCTAGAGGTATGACTCAGTAGTAGAGCATGTGCTGCATGTGTGAGATCCTGAGTTCAATTCCACATATCAGAAAAAAAAGTGTTTGCCTTTAAAAGCTCATATAACCTAGGAAGACAGAGACATCTTGTATTCAGTTAGTACTGTACATAACAGCTGTGGTGGTGAGTCTTTTAAATTATGTTGAATGATGCTGTAAGAAATCTATTATTTGTTTGACAGTGCCTATCATTTTAAATATTATCTTCCACGTAAAAGCAGATAATACAGAGGCCCCATTGTTCCTTGTGACCTTTATGTAGCATATTTGTTCCATTGACCCAGATAGGGGCCATGGTGTCGAGGATGGTTAAAAAGTTCCATGATTTGAAAACAAAATTAAAGGGCTGATGATAGTTTCAGGGCTAATAGAGACTGCTGGAAAGAGAAAACATAGTGGTGATTTGTTAAAGAAAAGTGTTTTAGTTTCTATGATTAAAAAGCTAAGTTTAGTTTTAGATTATAAAAAGTACCAGAAGCAGCTGGGCATGGTGGCTCACGCCTGCAATCCCAACACTCTGGAAGGGTGAGGCAGGAGGACTGTGAATTCAAATCCAGCACAGTACATTTAGTAACTTAAACTGTCTAAAATTATATTCAGGATTTGGGAATGTAGCTCAGTGCAAAAGTCCTAGTTCAGTACCCCGCCCCCACCCCCCGCGCGCTCACACACACACACACCAAAAGAAAAATGAATAAGAAGCATGAGGTTTTGTGTCCAAGATAAAAACAGAGGAAATCAAACAGTTGGTTACGAGATCATTAAATGCCAGGAAATGCTTCTAGCTGGTCCTAAATTACTAACCTACAGTAGAATTTCCTGATTTTTAATGTGCAGATGAATCACCAAGGGATCTAATTAAAGTCCACATTCTGCCTCATTGTTGCTGGAGTGTGGCCTGAGAGGTTGCATTTCTTTTTTTTTTTTTCTGTTACAATTTAGATATATATAATAACATTCATCATAAGGAATTTGTATCTGAACATGATGTGTCTTGCTGCTGCTTTTTTTCCCATTCCTCTCCCCCTCTGCCCTTTTCACCCTCCTTACTTATAAAAGTTTTGTTTCCGTTTATTTCTGTTCTCTTTTGCTTGTCCCTTCTTTCTCCCCCACCAACCCCCTCTTATTCCCATTCTCATTTGAACATTTTCCTCCCATTTCCCAATTTGTATCATACAGTTTGGTCTTTACACTTTCAGTTTCTCACACCAGAGAAACAATGCAGTACTTAAACATGAGTCCTATTTATTTCACTTAAGCATTTCTCTAGAAGTGTCTCAAGCTTATCCTTCCTCACAATGAGTACTACTCCATTGTACTAAAGAAATTTATTCATTCATCAGTTGATTGGCCTTTAAGCTATTTGGGAGATTTAGCTATTACAAACTGTGCTCTGTAAACATGGGTGTGCATATATTGCTGTAGTATGATGTTTTCAATTTTTTCAGGAACATACCAAGAAGGGAAATAGCTGAGTCAAACATAACTTCTATTTTTAGTTTTTTGAGAAATCTCCACATGGATTTCCATAGTGATTGCACAAGTCTACACTCCCATCAGTAGTAGAGAAGAGCTCCTTTTCTCCACAGCCCCCCAGAATTTGTTATTGGTTTATTCCTTTTTGTTGTTACTGTTATTGTTTAATTTCTCGATAATATCCATTCTTTATGGAGTGAGATGGAATCTTTTGCATTGTTTTAATTTGCATCTCTCCAATGATCAGTGATGTT